GGCTCAAGTTAGAGTATGTAGGAAAGAGGGAAATTATTTCCCAGTAAAAGTAGGCCTTAGACACGGATGTGTGATGTCACCGTGGTTGTTTAATATTATTATAGATGGGGTTGTAAAAGAGAAGTAAATGCGAGGGTCTTGGCAAGAGGCGTGGAGTTAAAAAGTAAAGAATCACACACGCAGGGTGGAGTTGTCACAGCTGCTCTTTGCTGATGACACTGTGCTCTTGGAGATTCTGAAGAGAAGCTGCAGAGATTTGGTGGATGAATTTGGTAGGGTGTGCAAAAAGAAGAAAATTAAAGGTGAATACAGGAAAGAGTAAGGTTATGAGGATAACAAAAAGATTAGGTGATGAAAAGATGAATATCAGATTGGAGGGAGAGAGTATGGAGGAGGTGAATGTATTCAGATATTTGGGAGTGGACGTGTCAGCGATGGGTCTATGAAAGATGAGGTGAATCATAGAATTGATGAGGGAAAAGAGTGAGTGGTGCACATTAGGAGTCTGTGGAGACAAAGAACTTTGTCCTTGGAGGCAAAGAGGGGAATGTATGAGAGTATAGTTTTACCAACGCTCTTATATGGGTGTGAAAGCATGGGTGAGAAAGTTGCAGCGAGGAGAAGGCGGGGGCAGTGGAGATGTTCGTGTCTGAGGGGAATGTGTGGTGTGAATATAATGCAGAGAATTCGTAGTTTGGAAGTTAGGAGGAGGTGCGGGATTACCAAAACTGTTGTCCAGAGGGCTGAGGAAGGGTTGTTGAGGTGGTTCGGACATGTAAGAGAATGGAGCGAAACAGAATGACTTCAAGATTGTATCAGTCTGTAGTGGAAGGAAGGCGGGGTAGGGGTCTGCCTAGGAAAGGTTGGAGAGAGGGGGTTAAAGGAGGTTTTGTGTGCGTAGGGGCTTGGACTTCCAGCAGGCATGCGTGAGCGTGTTTGATAGGAGTGAATGGAGACAAATGGTTTTTAATACTTGACGTGCTGTTGGAGTGTAAGCAAAGTAACATTTATGAAGGGATTCAGGAAACCGGCAGGCCGGACTTGAGTCCTGGAGATGGGAAGTACAGTGCCTGCACTCTGAAGGAGGGGTGTTAATGTTGCAATTTAAAAACTGTAGTGTAAAGTACCCTTCTGGCAAAGACAGTGATGGAGTGAATGATGGTGAAAGTTTTTCTTTTTCGGGCCACCCTGCCTTGGTGGGAATCGGCCATGTGATAATAAAAAAATAAAAAAAAATATATATAAATATATATATTATATATATATATTATATATATATAAATAATTATATATATATTATATATATATATATATATAATATATATATATAATATGTCGTGCCGAATATGTAAAACTGGTCAATTAGCAAGAACTTATTTAAAATTAAGTCCTTTCTGAAATTTTTCCTCCTTTACATTTAAAGAAATATTTTTTTCATAATGAATGATGTAAAAATTTATAATTTTGCACCAAAATAATCTAGAAAACTTACCTAACCTTATTATAACAAGAACAATTTATTTAGCCTAACCCAACTAAATATATTTTAGATTTGTTTACAATAATTTAATACTAAACAAACACAGTGAAATATATTTTTTTCGTTAGGTTCAGAATGATTTGGCGAAATTATTGCATACACAAATTTTCGCTTGTCCTATATGGCAAGATGAGCGTTGCTATTTAAGCCAAGATCGCAAGTTCTGCCTATTCGGCACGACATATATATATATATATATATAATATATATTATATAATATATATATATATATATATTATATATATAAAATATATATATATATATATATATGTTAAAAATCCAATGTAAAATGTTTGGAATTAAGCTTGTTGACCCGAGTGTCTTGAGGCAGTCATTAACACTGATCCCAAGCTGACACTAAACGTGCAGCTGCAAGCAGCCAAGCTGACGTTTATAGACTAGTATTATTACAATCATTACTAAGCGCTTAACTTACAAGGGCTAGAGACTAGTAGCTAAGCTGACATTACGCCTGGGAGCTAGTAGCTAAGCTGGCATTACGCCTAGGAGCTAGTAGCTAAGCTGGCAATGCTCAGATTCATAGCTAGTAGTTTCTAGCTCAAAACACCAGAAATGTTATTAACACACTACAACTTACTGTTGAGTATTTGTCTTCAGAAGCTTTATCATTCTTCCTTCTTCTATCATTCTCTTTTTCACGAATAATCCCCACCCATCTTAACCATTCTCGGCCAATCTGAGACCAAAAGTCTCCATAGATTAAACCACCAAGCTGTCCAATCAACTCAGGATGAGGCACCAGGTCGGAGACTCCTGGTCAATACATTTACCATGGTACGAAGTCCCATTGTACAGGAGACAAACTTAAGGTCAAGATCAACGAGTAACTCGCCAGTAACGAAGATCATTACACTCTGACTTGTCTGAGTGTAATGGTCTGAGTGGCTCCACTTAACAAAGTTTCCCCTTCAGTCTGTCCTCGACCCAATTCTTTACACAATCCGCATAAATGATCTGGAAAAAAAGGGGATTACCATCTAAAACAGCAAAATCGAAGGACGATAATAAACTAAAAAAAAGGCATCCTTGGGTTAAGTAGGAATATTAAGAGTGAGTATGCTGAGACAGAGGGAAGGCCACGGCACAAGTGATGCATTTTGTTATAATGTTAAACGTTACGCAAAATGCTTAGTAACCCATAGAGAAACTCAGGAGATTAATTCATCAGTATATTTCGACCATCTTCTTGGATCCTCTTCAGCTGATGAAGAGGATCCCAGAAGGGGGGTCGAAATAGATTGATCAATTAATATCCCGAGTTTCTGTCTCCATGTGGGTTATTACTGAGCATTGACAAGGGTTCACCACACTTATTCACTGACAAAAAAAAAAAAAAAAATGCTGTATAGTCCTTGTGGTTTAGCGCTTCTTTTTGATTATAATAATAATAATAACTGACACAAAATGTTTATGCAGCCATTAACAAATAAAAGGGAGAAGGGACTTTGAAGTAATCCTAAGCCACGACATTATCAACAACACACACTGTTTGGCACACAGTACCAGAGTCAATGTAATCCTTTTTATACATTCTGAAAGAAGAATCCGAATCTTCTTAAATTCGTGACTGTTGTTTTTTTCCCTCAGTAATATACCATGAAAAAATAAAAATGTTAAATAACGTGAGTTTTATATTAACAAGAAATTGACATCTTATTTTCCAGTGTCAACCATCACTGACATCACTAGTAATTTACGAGACCAATTTACCATATGTAATAACAAATTACATTTCATATCATGTAAAGACAAATTACACCATGTAATTTGTTCTCTAGATTACATGAACAATTAAGACAGGCTAGAGATGCTTCAGAGAAGAGGAATCAAACTCGAGGAAGACCAGATCGTTCATCTCGATGAATGATCAGGTCTTCCTCGGGAACCTGAAACTACAATACCTCCTTCTTAGCGCAAGTCTGAAAAAAGAATTTGGTAAAACTAACACGAACCCGAGGCGAGCGAGTCCTGAAACTCACAGACCAGTGCGTTAACCACTGGGCCACCTGCCTCTAATAACATTCATCCAACTCGTGATTTATCTGCAGTCTTGTTATTAATATTTCCTGTGTCGCGAACAGCTAAAATGATTCAATAATGTGAAACAGTAACATGAAACTCCGAGACAAGAGGTGCAATACTGATGTGGGCAAATACTTAATGCAGCATTTTACACCACTGGAACAAATGTACCGTCCAAAGTTGCAAGTTCAAAATGCATTGCAGTAATCTGTAAATGATGGATTCACTTACATGCAAAGCAAGAACTGCAGCTGCCAACTAACCCCGACTTGTGTTTATAAACCAGAGAAACTACGGTCACCTGACTACGGCTAAACCAAACCTCAGCCGTAGTTGTTTAAGTCGAACTGTGATATATTAAACAACGTATTAATGTTGGTAGAATAACCGATAATATGTTAATTAAAAGGACACAAGTGCAACTAATGTGACATTTTATTGTGGCAACGTTTCGCTCTCCAGGAGCTTTGTCAAGCCGGAGAGCGAAACGTTGCCACAATAAAATATCATATTAGTTGCACTTGTGTCGTTTTACTTAACATAGTAAAAAACAACTACGATAACTATTTCAAAACAAACATGAAACCCGTATCATACAAGTTCTCAGCAGATAATCTGGACGCAAACCAGGAGGACGTCTCGGGGTGTCCGCTCCTCTTGTGTATTCATTTTTGTTTTTTCTCCACTCTCCCCTTCTCCCTCGCCTCCCTCTATCCCCCACTCATCTTTCCCATTCTCCCCCCCTCTCCCACTCGCCGCCCACTACTCTCCCACACTCACCCTCTCTTCCCATTCCGTATGGTAACTCAAATACTTGTAGGAATAGATGCATAAAATGAGAGAGAGAGAGAGAGAGAGAGAGAGAGAGAGAGAGAGGAGAGAGAGAGAGAGAGAGAGAGAGAGAGAGAGAGAGAGAGAGAGAGAGAATGCTAGGGGCTAGACTTTGAAATAAGCTGAGGTAGGATAACAGCTCTTAGCGTGTAAAATAAATGATGGAACTTGTAGGCTAATCCTGTAAAGCCTTAAGACAGGAGAAAGAGAGAGAGAGAGAGAGAGAGAGAGAGGAGAGAGAGAGAGAGAGAGAGAGAGAGAGAGAGAGAGAGAGAGAAGAGAGAGAGAGAGAGAAAGAGAGAGAGAGAGAAACTGGCGTGGAGGAGAGGTAGGTGGGGAGATAGGGAGGGATGCAGGGAAGAAGAGAAGTACAGACGTACAGAGTAAATGACGTGAGAAAATCCTGGAAGGTGTTGGCTCTTGGTGAGGGGAATATTGTGCGTGGGCCTGAGGGGAAGGAGGGAAGGGAGTGAGAGGGAGGGGGAGTGAGGGGAGAGAGGACGGAGGAGAGGAGGAGGCGGCACTGGAGGGATGGGAGAAGTGGATCGATGCAGGGGGGACGAGGATATAAAGAAGAGTAGGAGCGGTGGGGGACCAGACATTTGCAGTGTGTGGGTCGTTGCGGTCACACACACACACACACACGTCGTCATCGTCTTCATTGCCGTCGTCATCGTCGTCACATCGTCAGCCCGAGGGTTGCTACGTCTCCCTCTCCCAGCTTCCCTCACTAGTACCTCCTCCCTCTCAACACACGCACCTCAACTCTCCCCAAGTCCTTTCCAGTAAAATTATTTGATCCAATACTCTTATACTTTACCCTAAATCCTTTACCTTAACCCTCTACATCCTCCTGCTGCTCCTCCACCCCCTTCCACTGCCTCTCTCTTTTCCCGGAAAAGGGAAGCTGGAGACCCAGCAAAGGGCAGGTGAAGAAGGAACCTGTTGACTGAGGGTGACCACACACACACCTGTTGCTGTGAGAGCACTCCCAGCCACCACCCACACAAGGTAAGTCCCTCACACCTGTAATTACCTGGCATGTGTGGATAATGGTGCGTGGGAGGCAAGGAGGGAGGGGCCTTCCTAGGAGTAAAGTCTCACTTTTGAGAATGATTGCAATGGTTCTGGACGAACTGGAAGGTGTTGCTCCAAGTTCCAACACACTGGTCTGACCTCGAGTAATTTTACGAAGGCGCTCAGCCCCCCCCCCCTGGTAAAAAATCATGGGTACTCTCCGTGAGTACATTGCTCTATGACGCCGCTGACTGAATCCAGAAAAATGTTTGTCTAGCACGTGTGAGCCATCTAAAATTGACTGCAATTAAAACTAAGCGCTAAGCCCCCAAGGATCGTAGAGCGCTGCCAGGCACTGTCAGGTGCTCCTCCAGACAGCTTCACAAACTTGCAGCCGCAAGAAATTTGAATCTAATCAATTTTTATGTGTTTTATGTGAATCCTGATTTTTTCCCCTTGACATTGCTAGACGTATCTCAGTGTTATATACCGACATGTCAGTATATAACAAGAAAATGTGCGTTTTATGGCACATTAATAAGACGTTTGGGCACCAGGGACTTTATTAATTCTTACTTTTAAAAATAAAGTCTTCTTAATAACTTGCCATAAACTGCCTTTTAATAGACTTGGTTCTGTATTCTTTTAAAACTAAAAAGAAAGTATTAAGTTAAAGCTGTGCTATCTCTAACTTACTAACATATATGTTTTTATCTTGACGGAACCTAGTATGGTAAATATTATTCTTGCTTTTGATACTTTCTGGACCTGACATCAGTCATTTTGTGTCGTGCTGTATTTGACGTGAATAAGATATTCAGCACACTGATAGCTGGAGGCTCGAACCTTGGTCAGCTACTGGCGGCGACCCAGAGACTCGACTCTCAGGAAACCTGTAACTGTATCTAATGAAACACCAGAACTTATCACCGGTAACACTTGTCTTTTCCTCTGATGATCCAAGAATATATATATATATATATATATATATATATATATATATATATATATATATATATATATATATATATCTAAACGTAAAATATCTTTTTTCTTCCCCTGGAAAGTTACTATAGAAAAAAATAACCAAGGAAACAAAAGGTCAGATAATGTGAGTTTTAGCGAGACCTTTATTAGGTAAGACTAACATAAATAAAAAACACCTGAGTGAACAAAGTATAACTGTTTTCTCAGCCTGAGGAAATAATTTTATTTTTGTCGTGACGTCGCTGAGAAACTTCAAAGCGGAATCTTCTAAAGTGTTTTTACACTACAGGTAAAACTCAATAATTTTGTCTCTTCTTACTGAAGGAGTTCAAAAAGTCCAGTGCGGGCGATAGGAGAAACTTCGGCATCATCCCTTAAAGTACACTAGTTGACAAAGGCTTGAAGTTATTACCTCGGTTATTATCTCTAGGAACACAAGAGTTCTAGAACTTTTTCTGACTAATACTTCCTAGACAACACCTCGACATGTACTGTGTCGGTACGCACAACACCGTTCCCATCCAGCTCTCAAGGGTGATCGAACCGAGGGTGTAGTTAGGTGTTGCTTCCCCAGAGTCGCGAGCCTATCGTGAAGGCCGAGACAAGGCCCTTCCATGCATAAAATATTAGCAGACTAAGTTGCTCTTAACCATAACATATCTGTCAGGTTGGTCAGCCAGGGTTCAGGGTGTCAGCTTGCCGGTCATCTTTCGCCGGATATTTTTATCCATATTAAATCCGTCGAGTGTGTCGTTATGGTTGCAGTTTGATGGAAAGTTGCAAGAGCCATTGATCACGACAACGTAAATCTTAGAGGCAGAAGTCCCGAAGTTCAACACTAACAGAAATAACTAGGATGTAGTAATTTGACTGGAATGTAAGTTTGTTAGATAAATAATAGTATAGCAGCCTCAATAAAAAATTTATATAATTATATATATATATATATATATATATATATATATATATATATATATATATATATATATATATATATATATATATATAATCGCTGAGTTTCGGAGATTAAAATAACAAGAAAATGGCAGCTACGAATTCAGCAAATCACTTCAAATATTTTTTTAATGCTGTAGACAGTTTTACTGGCAATATGGTAAGGCGCTACGAGGCTACGTGAGAACGAGAGTCAAATATCAGTATTTATGGAAATATCCAGCAACGAGTGTTGAAGATTTAAGAGAAATAACTGGAAATCTGTAGTTAATGTTGCGCAGAAGTTCCTGAGGACGTAACAAAGGAATTACGTAGCTGAAAGTCACAACACGATAACCACCGCTTTAATTATCTTCTAGTTTACATCATTTAAATCTTAACAATACGTTTTAAAAAAAATGTCTGCGTTGTTCCGAGGAAGTGTTGCACTCGTCCAGCCAAGATCCCAGATGCAGAACACACACTGTGCTCTGGGAAGACAGATGTGTTGAGACTAACTGCGTGTCAGATTAGGTTAAGTTAGGTCAGGTTTGTCTGGAAACATAAGTGTTTCCTGACGCGGGTCTTAGTCATATGACGACCAGCAGCTGGAGCTTCTGGTCGTCTGGCTGAGGTTGTCTACTGTGTCGACGTTCGTGTCGTGATTGTATACCCAGGATTATTCGGTCTGTTTTTGTTTGTTTTTCAAAGTCTGTGTCTAAAACTATGTGTTGTGGTCAATATGACATTAAAACATTTGTTGCATTTGATTTTTGCTTTAGATAAACTGTAAAGTTATTGGTGTGTCTTTATTAATGTATTTAACACTGCGAACTTTATTAACGTGACAAACTATTCTTTATTTTCGGTGTGAGAGGGGGTTGTGAGGGGCCCCGGACGCCATTCTGGGCCCCGGGGCCATACACCGTGCCTGGGCCCCGGGGCCATACACCGTGCCTGGGCCCCGGGGCCATACACCGTGCCTGGGCCCCGGGGCCATACACCGTGCCTGGGCCCCGGGGCCATACACCGTGCCTGGGCCCCGGGGCCATACACCGTGCCTGGGCCCCGGGCCCTTGGTGGCTACCTTCCTCCCAAGAACAGAGAACAAAAGAGGTTAAATAAAAGTTAAAGACTGTGGTAGTAAAGAATATTAACGAATGAAGTAACGATTTTGCTGGGATTATTAACCCAGAGGGTTAGTAACCCAGGATAACCCAGAGGGCTAGTAACCCAGGATAACCCAGAGGGTTAGTAACCCAGGATAACCCAGAGGGTTAGTAACCCAGGATAACCCAGTAGTTTAGTAACCCAGGATAACCCAGTAGTTTAGTAACCCAGGATAACCCAGTAGTTTAGTAACCCAGGATAACCCAGAGGGTTAGTAACCCAGGATAACCCAGAGGGTTAGTAACCCAGGATAACCCAGTAGTTTAGTAACCCAGGATAACCCAGAGGGTTAGTAACCCAGGATAACCCAGTAGTTTAGTAACCCAGGATAACCCAGTAGTTTAGTAACCCAGGATAACCCAGTAGTTTAGTAGCCCAGGATAACCCAGAGGGTTAGTAACCCAGGATAACCCAGAGGGTTAGTAACCCAGGATAACCCAGAGGGTTAGTAACCCAGGATAACCCAGAGGGTTAGTAACCCAGGATAACCCAGAGGGTTAGTAACCCAGGATAACCCAGAGGGTTAGTAACCCAGGATAACCCAGAGGGTTAGTAACCCAGGATAACCCAGAGGGTTAGTAACCCAGGATAACCCAGAGGGTTAGTAACCCAGGATAACCCAGAGGGTTAGTAACCCAGGATAACCCAGAGGGTTAGTAACCCAGGATAACCCAGTAGTTTAGTAACCCAGGATAACCCAGTAGTTTAGTAACCCAGGATAACCCAGTAGTTTAGTAGCCCAGGATAACCCAGTAGTTTAGTAACCCAGGATAACCCAGTAGTTTAGTAACCCAGGATAACCCAGTAGTTTAGTAACCCAGGATAACCCAGTAGTTTAGTAACCCAGGATAACCCAGTAGTTTAGTAACCCAGGATAACCCAGTAGTTTAGTAACCCAGGATAACCCAGTAGTTTAGTAACCCAGGATAACCCAGTAGTTTAGTAACCCAGGATAACCCAGTAGTTTAGTAACCCAGGATAACCCAGTAAAGTCAAGATGTCAACGTGGACAATATCATACAAGTATTTCTACTGTGGTCATTTTGATCTCTCCCAGGATGCGGCTCACAACAGTCTGTTAACACACAGGTATCTACGTACTGTTTGGAGGGTCAACAGGGGCAGAAAGGGTAAGCAAACTTGCCCAAAGTTTCCACTCGTATCGGGGATCGAACCCCGGTCCCACAGTGTGTGAGCTAAGACAACTGCCAACTGAGGTCTGCTTGAACCTTCAACACACACACACCATCCCAACACCAGGTAAACAACAGTGCAGGACGGTGTGTTGGTTGGTTAATGGGGTTTAAAGCCTGTCGACTACACGAGGGTCATTAAGGCTACACGTAACCTTTACACCACAAGGCAATAACACGTTAATCCTTAAAATAGTGATTAAACTGAACTCCGAGAGAGAGTTACATCTCCGGGTGTGTGTTGCTGGGCAGGGAGGGTGTAAGTGACGTGAGGTGCCACAATACATCTTCCTAGATGAAGAACAATCACGAAATATGAAAAAAAAAACTCCTTAAGAAATGAGAGAAAGATGACAGATGATGATACAGAAGAAAGTAAAGAATATTCCCCAACAGATGGCGTTGAAGCCCCTGACAGTCCCCGCCACACGCTTCTTTACAGCTAATATTTTCAATAATATTGGTTAATATCGCTCATGTTGGTGACATTTCACTTTTATTATTTTTTTTTTTACCATTTACCTCCCTAGCTAGATATAATCAAAATCTTTAACAATTATATAAGAAAGCCGTTTCACAATTCCAAGTTTTATTTTATATAACATTGAGATTATATGTATATATAATTATATATACATTATATGTATATATGCACACACACACACACACACACACACACACACACACACACACATACACACACATACACAC